GTTACTGCATATACATATCCCTATAACCCTAGCGTAACTGAACCTTAAGTGTGTAGACCCTACGGGTTCGGGAGACATGCAGACATGACCGAGACTCTCTCAGTCAATAACCATCAGCGGGATCTGGATACCCATGATGGCTCCCACATGCTCCTCGATGTTGTCATCGGATGAACCACTATGTCGAGGATTCGATCAAACCCTGTATGCAATTCCCTTTGTCAATCGGTACGTTACTTGCCCGAGACTCGATCGTCAGTATCCCAATACCTTGTTCAGTCTCGTTTCCGGCAAGTCACTTTACTCGTACCGTAATGCATGATCCCGTGTCCAACACCTTGGTCACATTGAGCTCAATATGATGATGCATTACCGAGTGGGCCCAGAGATACCTCTCCGTCATACGGAGTGACAAATCCCAGTCTCGATCCGTGTCAACCCAACAGCTACTTTCGGAGATACCTGTAATGCACCTTTATAGTCACCCAGTTACGTTGTGACGTTTGATACACCCAAGGCACTCTTACGGTATCCGGGAGTTACACGATCTCATGGTCGAAGGAAGAGATACTTGACACTTGCAAAGCTCTAGCAAAACGAACTACACGATCTTTTATGCTATGCTTAGGATTGGGTCTTGTCCATCACATCATTCTCCTAATGATGTGATCCCGTTATCAATGACATCCAATGTCCATAGTCAGGAAACCATGACTATCTGTTGATCACAACGAGCTGGTCAACTAGAGGCTTACCAGGGACATTGTGTGGTCTAAGTATTCACACGTGTATTACGATTTCCGGATAATACAGTTATAGCATGAATAAAAGACAATTATCATGAACAATGAAATATAATAATACTTTTATTATTGCCTCTAGGGCATATTTCCAACATCTTGCAGGTGCCCTCAAATGTTTTGGTAAACACTCGAGCCAACTCATCCCAATTGAAAATGTTTCCAAGGGCCAACAGATTCAGCCAAGCTCTGGCAGAACCTTCAAGCATCAGAGGGAGGTGCTTCATGGCCACCTCGTCGTTACCGCCACCAATATGCACAGCCACTCGGTAGTCCTCCAACCAAGTGTCAGGCTTCGACGCTCATGTGAACTTACTGACGCCACTCGCCAATCTGAAGTTGTAAGGGATCTCAGCGGCTCGGATGGTTCTTCCGAAACACTCAGGGCTGGAAACATGGACCCTTCTTCCACTGGGCCTGTCTCTATCCAACCCTTCTCCGTATGCTCTGTTCCGGTCGACCAAACCTTGTAAAAGGACTGACCTTGCATCGAACCCAGGCTCTCTTGGGTCGACTGGAACTCTGGGGTCATTACCACACAGGCGCCTGTCGTCATATCGCCGGGGCGTGTACGACCCGTCCCTCGGAAGGGGCGAAGGCACTCAATGGTGGTTGTCACGGGCGTACTCACGATCAAACTCTCCATGAGCTCTTCCCAGGTGCCGATCTCGATGGTGATCACGATCTTCACGCTGCAAAAGCGACCCAGGACTGTGTGCTGACTGAACTGTATCTGCCCTTACTGACCTGCTGTGGATCCTGTTTCGCGACTGGGAAACGGTGGAGTTCAGCTCTCCTGCTGCTCAAAGCAGCTCTCGGATCTGTTCCAAGCCCCTTCCAGCTTCTGAACGGGGCGGCTGAATAGACTCTGCTATACTTGCGTCAGCTGTAAGATTCTAGATTGGCGTGCGGTATACCTGAGGTTCATGCGGAAACAACTGTCTCCGATGTCGACTGGATTCGGGGATCAGTCAGCGGGCGCATTCGTCGAGAGAGTGCTGGAGGTTCTCCAGACGTGTGCGCTCAACCAACATGGTCAGGCGCACCGCCTCCAAGGCCCGGGCCTCGACGGTTTCCCCCATGATGGGGGTTTAGAGTGCCTCCACGTTGCGGCGATGCAGCTCTTCCCTCTGCTGCAAATTGAGAGGTTGGGCTCGTACTCATCGTGGCCGAATGACGGACCATCGCCGCTGCCGTCACCATCGTTGCGACGAAACCCGGGCTGGCTGTGACGAGGGTCAGCCATGAGAACTTCCACCACGGGGTCACAGCTCCCGCGCTCGAAAAAAGCATCCGCAGAGCTAGCCGACAGGTCGACTGGGCCGCAGAGAAATTTGTTGGGCTCGATCGCCGCGACTTGTGGGATGGTCATCTGACGAGCCACCGCATGCTTTACCCACCACTGGAGCCGCGACCGACTGGATTGCTTGCGGCGGCGACCAGCGGAGTGAGTGGACGATGTGAGGACCAACCGATACGGAGTCGACGGCTGTCGTAAGAGAACACCGCAAGCACTCGCGCGGAAGTGCAACGCTCCACGGATCGGAAGGGCCTCGACATCGAGGGGGCTTCTTGGAGCCAGGCGGAGTCGTCGGCGACGGAAGTGAGCGCTCCGAGTCGGAACTCGTGGCCCATGTCCAAGCCACCGCCAGAAACCATGTTGATGAAGATCGGAGAAAATGCAATCTCGTTGGAAGTCGCTAAGACGCCTTGCCCCATGGTGGGCGCCAACTGTCATGGTACTAAGTCTGACAGTAAGAGTAGGGGGTACGTATGAGGAGGCAAGGCCCTAGCTACGGCGAGGTTGTACACACAAGTTTACTAGTTTAGGCCCCTCTCGGAGGAGTTAAAAGCCCTACGTCTCGGTGCCCTGAGGCGGTCGACTGGAATATGGGTGTGTGTTACAAGGGGTGCGAACCCTTGTCTCAGAGGAGGGGGGTGGTGGCTTATATAGAGTGCGCCAGGACCCCAGCCGTCCCCCGTTACAGGGTTCAATGTACATTAAGACAGGGCGTTACTGGTAACGCCAGCTATAAAGTGCTATTAATGATCTTTAAGACTATGGAGTGAATGCCTGACCGTTGCCATCCTGAGTGACTCTAGGTCTTTTGTACTCCGAGTGGTTTCCTGCATGGTCGAATGACTTCGTCCAGGTCGAGTGAAATTGGGGATATCCAAGTGAGATAACTGGTCGAGTGGATTGTACTCAATGGCTTCAGTCGGTGCTTCTTGCTATACTTTGAATGTCTTTGACTCTAGGGTAGTGACATTGGGTAGGGCGTATAGGTCAGGCCTATGACCCTACCCTAGGTTAATGGCATCGTCACTTAACTCCCACATTCTTACCTCACCCTACCACTAGAACTTTTCGATGTTCTCTTCCAAAATAGGATAATATAGTTCTTGTAATGGTTTCTATGCCTCTACATTTTTCCTTCCACACATAAACTTTTTGTCGCCCAAATCGACGACCTCCTCAGAGCAAATAGAGACCCCTGAAAGAAAGAGGGCAGACAAACAGCTTGGGCCCACACGTAAGTGGCAACTTGGATGTTCATATGGTTGAGGGTGCTCATGTGGACATGGGAACCCCACCCAAGCATCCTCATTTTATCCCCCTTTCTCTTCTTTCTTCCTTGTCTCGTCCGTCCCTCCCTTGCTTCAATCCTTAATATTAGAGAGCATCGCATCGCCCTGAGTAGAAGCGCTCACGGAGATCTCTAGTGTATGATGCTTTCTAGTCTAGATATGACGTGTCGATGCAGCATGACTACCTATTCAATCTCACCATCAACGCCGTAGTATGTGGCGGCGCACGCGCGCGCATACGCATAGAGAGACCATATGAGGACGAATAATGAACAAGAAGGGAAGAATAGGAGGGTGACATATGGGTTCATGGCCATCTCTGCCTGTCCGTGTGGGTTCGGCTTGCTGGGATTACTTAAATTTCATACTTTGGGTGCACTATGAATAACTAGACTATAAGTTTCTTATTGTCTAAGAATAAATCTAAAAGTTGAGGTAGAATGTTCCTGTGATGTGGTTTTGAGTAATCACTCTACAATAACATGCTTATATGTGTTGCATTTCGAATCCAAACAAACAATGGTAATCTAATTTCCACAACTAGCTTTTATCTTTTACTTGTTTGATAAGCCAATCTTTTTTGGGTCTTCATATCTGTTTTTCGAAAGCAACTCATAAGAATGAAGCAGAACCACCAAGACAATTCGTCAACCAAATCATAGCAATTAAAGTATAAACTTGCCATGTATGCTTTTTGTGGGACTTGATATTTTCTATCTTTCGAGTGAGTGTGCTAACAAATTTGAGTGGAATATTAGACCATGTACCGAGATACTCCGTTTAAGCGTCAACTAATTTCGGACAGAGAGATTATTATTTCTCACAATTCCATTTATTACTCTAGCTACATCAATTAGATTATTTCTCGTGAAGCGCATATGTGCATACATTTACCCGCCAACTTTTTTCATTTCATAATCTTGTGCGCAAAGTAATTATTTTTCAAAAGTCATACCTTGTAGAGTTTGAGAAATGTTACTGAGAAAGTTATCATCATTAAAAATATCAAATAAATGTAATATAAAAGTATGTCTCATGGTGTATCTAATGATATTTATTTGGTATCATAGACGTCGATATTTGTTTCTGTAAATTTGGTTGAAGTTGATGAAGCTTGACTTTTGAGGAAAATATATACCAGCAAGTACTTGGTATAGACTCTAGTTGTTGGGTGTTCATGCATTTTTTTTATCCAACTAAAAACTTGCCTTGCACATAGCCATTTTTGCCACAAAAGCATGAGCTTTCGTCGTTGTTTCATGCCAGGACCTGAATCTCCTTTGGCCGTGTGAATCTTGTATATAAATCACTGCTGATATTATTTCTTGACCTCCCAAAGAATAATTTTGCTTCGACCGTAACCCAACCTTACATGAATCCACCAAATTAAATCATCACACGCACACACGACACACGACACACGACACACGACACGCCCCCAGCGAAAACGACTCCAATTTCGAGGCACGGCCACGAAGAGCTGCACCATGAATTACTCACTGCTCAACATCAAATTCGTACTCACGTAGTACTCCGGATGCTCAGAGTCCGGACACCAAGCCGCCCGGCGCAATGGATGAACCCTCGATGGGTCGTCATGGATCTCGTGGTTCATATGCTCCTGGCGATCATCTCCTGGTACCTCCGGTACGACTCCTGCTTCTCCAGCAAGAACTTCGCGTGGAACCTCGCGATGAACTTCTCCGCCAGCCTGTCGATCTCGTTCACCGCCGGACTAGCCTCGGCGCCGTCGTCCTCGCCCGCCGGCACGCCACCCGACGACCTCTCCTCCTCCAGCCAACACAGGTACCCGCACTCCGCCGTGTCGTCGCACACCTCCACCACCTCCTCCTCCACGGCCGCCGCCGTCGCCGGAACCACAGCGTTCCACTCCGCCGCGTACTCGTAGTCGTTGTATGACGAATAGCAGGGCGCGCGGCTGGCGTCCAACCGATCCCTCGCTCGAGCTGGCGGGAAGGAGGTGCCGACGAAGTGCATCTTCACGAAGCCGACGATCTTGCTCGTCTGCTTCTTGCCGCCGCTCCTCTTCGCCGACTTCGTCGTCGAGCGACCGTAGTGGCCGTACCCGCCACCGCCGGCTCTCGCGGCGGCAGTCCTCTTCTTGCTGAGTATCACGTCGACGAGCAGGGCCCTGAACCTGGCGACGGCGCGGAAGACGTGACCTACCTGCCGGTAGATGTGGGAGTGGAGGATGGAGTCGATCTTGGGTGAGATCGAGCTCGGGAGCAGAGCCTCCACGTGGAACAGTGGAGCCATGGTGGACGAGGTGGTGAGCTCGCCTGCGCGACTCCCATGGGTTTATATATACGCAAGGCCCGTGGGTGTCGTGTGGCGAAATGTGTCTAGCCATCCGTACTGTCAGTTAGCCCGATGCTAAGCTGGCTTACTCACTCTGACTTCCATTATTTGTACTTTCTTTTGTTGATCTCACACATTATTTTCTTCCAATGAGTCGAAGCTCTTTATTAGTACTCCCTCTGTAAAGAAATATAAAAGCGTTGAGATCACTAAGTCTTTTGTTGATCTCACAAATTATTTTCTACGAATGAGTCGAAGCTCTTTATTAGTACTCCCTCCGTAAAGAAATAGAAATATAAGAGTGTTTACATTACTAACTTAGTGATCTAAACGCTCTTATATTTCTTTACGGAGGGAGTAGTAATCTTAGTGATCTAAACGTTCTTATATTTTTTTACGGAGGGAGTACTAATCAAATACCAACATTACAAGGACCGTAAAAGGAAGGAAGATGCAACACGGTAGAATCCTCAATCCTCTTCATCCCGCACATGTGAATGGCACATCGATGCCGCACCGGAGTTCCGTGTCATTGCTGGAACAAAAGATATTACGCACACAGGCTACCGGAAAGTCATCGATCTCTGTCGGGAAGTGCCGACGAAGTCGAACCTGAAGGATCGTCCACGACCTGGAGGTGAAGACGACGATAGGACGAATGGACGATCATACCTAGATGTCCTACCAAAACAACGGAATAACCAGCACCGTCACTGCCGAAGTAGCACCAACTCTGACGAAGAAACAACGAAATGCAAACTTACTCACTCGATCTCGTCATTAGGTCTGCCGCCGCGTAGACCATAGAAGCTGGGGAGACCTTATTGAATCCTGCTGCCTCCACCACCGAAAGGTCCGAAGCCACGGACAATGAAGACCTACCCATGTCCACCCGGCTCGTCTTTGGATCCGATGGTGCACATCACCATGGCCAGATAAGAAGCTCGAGGAATCATTAGACATTGCCTCCACCACCGCTGAAAGGGCTGAAGTGACAGACAAGCAAATATCTCCTTTATGGCCCCATGTTGAGAAAATGACTGCCCCCACAAGTAGACCGAGGCCTCCTCGCACGACCGCACCAGCAGAGCCAGTGTTAATGGAGGGAGTCAACGATCTACCTTTGGAGGAATGTGACGGCAGAGAAAGAACCCTGGATTGCTTTGGCTATGGATAGCCAAATTACAAATTAATTTCTTTATGCATGTTTGTCGATTGTCGGGCAATTGGAAACAAAATACAAACAACGACCATATTTCTGATCGTGTGATTCTCTAGCCATTGATAAGATGGGGCCGAGGCATGATGATGTGAAGTGGCGCATGCAGGTTAGGCGAGGCCAGAGTCTGAGGAGGAGAAGGTATTAGACAATCAATGTTTTAGGTTCACAGTGTGAGATGGTAGGGTTATGTGAGGGGCACTGGCGCCAGAGAAAGGTTTACATTCTCTACATATGCAGATTTACGAGTCGATGGGGC